ATAAGCACTTTTTCATTAATACCAAGTAATAATTTAGGTCGAGAAACATTCAGACAACGAAAAAACAAAGTTTTTATAGTTCAGATTGAAATTTGTTTTTGGATGCTGTATGCCCAGTTGCATCAGATAATAAGTCAGCCGTAAAATAGGAAACTTTCGAGTACGAATGTTCATAGAAAGAGGCATTCAAAAGATAAGTTAATATATATTGAGATCATTGATGAGAATATGTAATAATTAAGCCCGGAGGCAAGGCATTTTAAAGCATAAATCATAAAGCATATAAAATAGTATGAAAGCTAAGTGGGATCCGAAGAAAGCAGACTGCATAGAAATAAATGAAGAATAAAAGATAAACACAGAAATAAAGATGCATTGAACGTTATCGGATGGGCAATCCAACCTATATTTACTCGGCCGAACGTGCGACCCAGTTCAATTTCTTGCTTTGACTTGGACTTTGAATCAAGCAGGTAGGGGAAGATATCTAGCGGCAGGGGCTTAGTTAACACATTTGCATCAAATGGATACATCATTTTAATGCTATCAAAATCCTGGCCATTATTATCCAGCCATTGGAGAGCAGGATAACTAAGATAGCCCACGATGTCAAGTAGTGCCTTGCAATCACCCTCTGCATTATGAGCGCAATGATGCTGGCTACCGAAGATTGTAGAATACACATCTGCGAGTTTATAGGAGCGCCTCGAATATGCAGCATGCGAGCTTTTAGGTGTAGAGTGAACAAGTTGAGATGAGGTATGGTCGAGCTCTCCATCTGTCATAATACCGGAGTCATCAAGGGAGCTACATGGCCTGAGCTTATTATCTAGCGATCGGAAAAGGTCTAAAGAATCTGCACGTAAAATTGGGGATCCAGTACAGTCAGTTAGTTTAAAGGATTCCCCCTTGACCCTACATAATTCTGATTTCAAAAGTGGGAAGTCAAAGCGATATCCATTATGGGCAATGAGACAGACAGGAGGGTCAAGTCGGGATAGGAACAGAGAGAGTAAATCAACAGCGTTGGCGTCAAAATCCTTTTGATGAAATAGATTTTCTTTGGTAAGACCTATAAAAAGTTACGGATATAACCACCAAGACCTGATATTTTAGAGGCAACAGGCTGGAAGTCGCACAACGGGTTAAAGCAGAGACTTAATTTATTTTTCACTCTGGGATTTTGCTCATTTTCAAGGGCGAACCTACTAACGGATAGAAAACAAATTTCAGTAATTTTTGGATTGAAGTTAGTTGATGGTAGACCAGTTGTCTCCAAATCAAAGAACACCAAGGAAGAGAGTAAACGGGATCGGGGTAGCATGTATTATGTTGAGACGCCCCCAAAACCTAATACATGCGCCATTTTAAGTACAAATTCTTAGTTAACTTCTTGAAAGTTTATTCAAAAAGCTAGGTAATTTTATTTTCTTCTACTTCTAAAGCGCGCGCAGTATGTATGATTGTAAAGCGTTCTTATGAGGCCCTCTGTTGTCTCCTTTCGTCTTGCTCATCCAAGCATACTTTGTCGACATGGTATGCTTGATTCAATTTATTTCGATTTAAGGAGTCATGCTGGAGATACAATCTGTCGGTTCTTCCTTTCCAAAGTACGTTTGCAGTGCCTATCGTCGTCCTCGAATGTGTCTGGATGATTGTGATGCAACAAAGACATTAGGATCGCATACTGCCAAGACGATTTCCAAGTTACCTATAAATAGAAGGGCATTTTGTTCTCACTGCGACTGCCTATTTGATGTCGAAAAAGAATCGATGCAGCACGTAAACCACGAAACCCAGTTTTCATTGACTAAAAGGATGCTAACTTTACCAACCTTTATTTTTAATCCCAAAAAGGACAGGCTATCTAATGCAGTAAGTGTTTGGATTGATAATATTCAGCAATGCTATTTCTCCCTAGATTGGTTAAATTATATGTATTATTTGATTAA